AGCTCAGGTCAGGTGTTGATAGGTCAGTTTCGAGAGGCGATATTGTTATTGTAGATTCCTTGAACAGCATCAAAGGTTATAGATATGAGTTATGGTGTATCGCGCGTGCCGCTGGGATTAGGTATTGTGTTATCTACTGTGATGTGGATGAAGCTCATTGCAGGCAATGGAATAAGGAACGCAGTGATAGAGGCGAGGCTTCATATGACGATGGTATATTCGAAGATCTTGTGAGAAGATTTGAGAAACCTGAGAGAAGAAACCGATGGGATTCACCTCTATTTGAGCTATACCCTTCTCGAGAAGGAATAGACAAATCCTCTCCTGTGATTTCAGAGGCTGTGAATTATCTAACCAAGACGGTTGATTCTAAAACCCAAGATGTGAGAATTCTCCAACCGAGTATCGCGACTCAGTCTGCTAGATTCTCTGAAGCGAATTCTCTTTACGAGTTGGACAGAGCGACACAAGAAATCATCAATGCGATTGTGGAACAACAAACACTTGGTGGGGCTATAAGCAGAGTCACTCTTGGCAATGAACTACCTCCAATCGAAATCAGTAGACCGATTGGACTACCAGAGCTAAGGAGGCTTCGAAGAACGTTTGTTAAATTGATGGGTCAAGCGAGTCTAAGCGGGCCACCGTTACCAACTGATGCTGATAGCGCAAAGAGACGGTTTGTGGATTACTTGAACAGAGAGTTTGGAGGTAATAACGCTTGAAATTTGTAGGTGAAAAGCCATCTTACAAATTTTGTTTTCATTTTCTTAACTCGTGTCAAGTTTCATCCTTATGATTCTTCAGTGAAATTCTGGGGCTAAAATGGATGTGTTTCTTATGCAAAACATATAAGATTATTACTACTATATATATCAAGTTAAAGAAACAGTGTTGTGTTTGTAATAATGTTTGCTTAGTGGGAAAGTGAAGTTACGAAAACATCTCTTTTCGGTTCTTTAATCCCTTTGTCTTATTTCTTTAACATAATCAAGAAGACAAATGACAAACGAGACTTCCAGGTTTCTTCAAGAAGATGAAAATGGAGTCTGAGATTTCGTTACCAGTGGAAGAAGAGTTATTAGATACAGTTGTTTCTTTTTCTGTTTGCAAACAGGATTTGCATTTGTATAGAATTTCTTTCACTCATCCATTTATTTTGGTCCTACATCGAAGTTTTTGATCTACTTGGTTTTGAAGAAAGATAGACAATTTAAAAATAATTGGATTTGAAAAATGAGAAAGATAATGGAGATGCGGGGGATCGAACCCCGTGCCTCTCGCATGCAAAGCGAGCGCTCTACCATCTGAGCTACATCCCCAGTTGCTATGTTTGCATCTATATTGATATTTATATGAAGACATTTGTAATACATTCAGAAGTAGCTACATGATATTTCTCCTTTTTATTTGACACGATGAAAATA